TGTACCATATATTAACATGTTCCTGAAATAAAATAGCTGCCCTGGAATCATAGTTGAGGAAGGACCTCAACAATGCGGATGGGGTCTAATGCAGTGGTGAACAGGGAAGGAATGGAAGATAGCCAAAGAATGAATGAGACACTATGATTGTATATACTACTGAAATTCTACCCACCATTCAAACTCTTACACTTTCAAAATCCTTTTGGAGTGTGGAGTGAGTTATGCAGAGGAGGAGCGGAGAAACTCAGGTTTTATTTTTATTTGAACTAAACCTTTTCCAAAGCCAAACGAAAAGAAGGTCCAAGATTTCTGCTAATATCTGTTGTAGACATTGTTCATATAAACACTTCCAATAAAAACTAATACCATCAGTTGGTATACAACAACACACAGTTGTCTTCCAGGTATAGCTTAAATTGTTTGCAAGGTTCTTATGCTCTAGAGAGCACTGGATTAATGTTGAAGAACAGTAAGGTGTAAAAATTTACCTCCGCTTCTTGATATTCTCACTATCACTCTTCATTTTAGAGAAAGCAAGCATCTATTTTTGCATTAGTTGGGAAATGCAAAATTATGAGAGTTGTAGCTTAATCAGGATTATCACATGTTCCCCATCATTATTCTCTATTGATCTTCCCTAAACTATTCTTGTTTATCTTCCTATAATTCTGAGACACCTCTCATCTTCAGAACTAGTCCCATATATAACTTTCCTCAACCTTTGTGCATTTCAGCTATGCTGGACTTTAGACAGCATATTTGGAAGGCACCATATGCAAAATGATTATTCTTTCTTAATCAGATTGCCCAAAATGTCTTTATATACCCACTAAATTCGCCCAAGCGATTAGTTTATCGTGGATTCTGTAATTTTTGCTAAACAGCCATTCTCCATTGAAACAGTAAGAAGTGGTGGTCTGTTTGTTTCCTTTGTAAAGAAGTTGCTTTTGGATTTCAATAAAACTTTGAAAACTATTTGCACATCAACATGATCTGCCATACCATTAGGCAGCAAATAACATGCCCGAGGTTGACTATTCAGATGTCATGAAAGGATAACCAGTTTAGCTATTTGATTTACTGTTTTATTTTTGCTCATAGAATGGGTACTGGCATGGTTTCATGAAAGTATAACATATTTAGCTATTTGATTTACTATTTTATTGTCACTCTCAGAATGGGTATTGACATAACTTTCTTTCTTGAGTTTGTTTTGAGTTCTCTGTAAATTCATGTAAAGACAGGAACATCATTCGGTGCTCTTCCCAATGTAGCAAAATGTGGGCATTTGTAAAAATACAAAAACATAATGCAATGTAATAGTATGTAACAGTAGAAACAAAATCCAAGCATTAAAAAATTTGATAGTGTCTAAAAGAAAACAAAGATGATGGCATCTGAACCTTCTTGGAAAAAGAATTCTGAAAACATGGTATCACAACCAAGAAAGCCCTGTCTCTGGCTTCCGACAAGTTTTCGGGCCCAATTCAAAGTGCAGTTATCACCTATAAACCCTTATATGCTTCAAGTCCAATCTACCTCCGAGATCGCATCTCCTTCTATGAGTTGATGTGGGCTCTGAGATCCGCCCAAATATGGTTAGTGGGGATGAGAGAGAGCGCCTTCTTGGTTGTGTCCCCCCCCCCCCCCGAGAGATTAGGTTAGCCCCATCTCTGCAAGTCTTCTGTTGCAGTCTAAAATAATGACTTTTAAAACAAGCCTTTGATCTTGTGTAGATTTTAAGGGTTAGCCTGAGGGTTTGGGTTGGCTTTATCTCGGCATTAGATTTGTTAACTGATAACAACCAGTTTTATCTGCAGTTATGACTGTGTTTTATTAATTTTAATATTTTATTATGTGATTGTATATGTGTGGGTGATCTTATATTATTCTTTTTTTGGTTATGTATGGTTCATGGTATATGCAACACTTCGAAGTGCTTTGTGAGCCGCCCAGAGTCCCTTCGAGGAGTGGCTGATAGGGTAGAAATAAAATTTATTATTATTATTACCATCCATCTTTCTTGTGGTAGTGCAGGAAGAGGGGGAATTTCACAGTAACCCTCACTTTGGCATGTTTTTGTGCAAGAAGACAGTACTTCCAAGTTTAAGGCTTATATCTAGCTTGAATAGACCCTCTGAATCAATGGAAGAGGCATAAGTATTACATTCCCAAACTCCTCTTGATTGCATGGGTCTGTTCTTGTAGGAACTGACAGTAGCAGTTAGGCCTAAATATATGCCTCAACATGAATTTTGAAACCAGCACTTTATCTCATGGTTGGAAATGCACCAGGAATCAGTATTGTAATAAAACTGATACAATGCATTCCTTAACATATTTTTTGTTATTTGTACTGATTTGAACCAACTGTTGTTTCCAAACATTTTACAAAAGAATTCATATGTAGAACTTATTGTAGTAGTCTATAAATATATATTAATTAGAACAGAGGACCATCATATTTTGTCTAGGAAGGGCAGATGCCACTTGGATCTCCATAAGGAAAGCTAGTGTAAGAGCATTCCCTGTTGGTGAATCCTAGAGCAGATTGGCTGTCCATTTTCAGAGACATAATACTCACCAAGAGTGTGTCTGTCTTGTCTAGAGTAAATTTCATATTGCTTAAGATCCTTGGATGGCATTCTTCATTGGTTTCCATATAGATATTAAATGACACCCAGAATAAATAAAACCCTGCTGTGGTTCAATACACCATAGCACAGTACCATAGAGCACAACAACATTTTCTGAGTTTCATTGCCTGCAAATAACCAATAAAATGTGCATCCCCATTCTGAACAGCTGATCCTAAAAGTTACTGTGATCCTGATGGACACTAAAAGGACCAGGACAGTTGAAATTGTTGTATTTCCTATATCTTTTTCTTGACATATTATCCATTCAGGTTACCAATAATAAATTAGATTGACATGGACCCAGATAATTGTTGTAATCCAAGGGTGCTTAGAATTGTTTGCCCACAATTTGTTGTAGCACCTTACCCTGACATATATATTTGTTTCGGTCTAAGAAATGAACAGTTTTTATAGACTAAATTAGGTTTTCTTTGAGACTACAAAATGCAGGAGTAGCGTTACCCAGTAAACCAAATCATTCACCTACACAGGCATAGGTCTGGCTTTTTTTTTAGTAGCATTGGTGTCAATTTTGAATCCTGAGATCATTTCCCTTACTCAACAAACTGAAAGCAGACTGATTGATCCCTGGGTTTTGGCTAGATGAGTAGCAGATTTTCATTCAATATTAGATTTCCAAGTTAAGTTTATAAGAAAAAAGTTGGAACCTTTTGGGATGCTGGAAAGGTTAGAAATGTGTGATTTATAATACTTTAAATATTGTGTCTTCAGACATTGGCCACATTTAAGCAGTATAGTTAGCCAAGGAACCACGGGAAATCTGGCTTATCAACGAGAAGAACCATACTGGCAGATGCTACCCAATCACTCCCATGGGAATGACTAAAGAAATTGCAGCTATTTAGTCTGTATGTTGTTTACTGCAGTGTTCTGAACTGATTCTCCCTCGATGAGTAGGAGGAAGTGCCCATGGAATACACTCTAGAGTCTTTCTCTGCCTTGTTTGGAGAGAAACAGGCCAAAGCAACAGCTGCTGCCAGATTTGGATATCACAGTAAACTAACCAAGGGCTAAAAATCTGACGTCTGTTCAAGTAGTCCTGCTGGAAGCTGTGCTGTAGGACAGTGTGTACCAGCACACTCCTCATTCTCAATATGTCTGGGTTTCTGCAGTACCTTTTTTTATTGTGACTACTGAGCACAGTTAATAATGGGAAAACTTTAACTGTCAGACATCTGTAATAAAAATGCTAAGTTGATTATGACTCAGAATGGAATTTGTCACTAATGAATGTTCAAGGTAAATGTTTCCCCTGACATTAAGCCTAGTCGTGTCCGACTCTGGGGGGTGGTGCTAATCTTCATTTCTTAGCCGAAGAGACAGCATTGTCCATAGATGCATCCAAGGTCAGTAGTAGTAGATCAGCAGGTACTGTCGAAGTGGTACATATTGATCTACTCATATTTGCATTTTTTTTCAAACTGCTAGGTTGGCAGAAGCTGGGGCTAACAGTGGGAACTCACCCTGCCCCCTGGATTTGAACCGCCAACCTTTTGGTCAGCAAGTTCAGCAGCTCAGTGATTTAACCTGCTGCGCCACTGGTGGTTGAAATGAATGTTATAATTACACAAATTCACTGCATATATTCTATTGTATATTACTGAGTAATCTTATGCATTTCATCTATTCTGAGTAATTTAAGAAAAGAAAAAAACGAATTCTTGTCTGTCAAAAATATAATTACCCAAAGAGAGTGCTCTATCACCCCATTTACATTCAAATGCGCATCACCCAAACTCTTGCCACTATAATATCATTTTCGTACAGTTTCCACCCCCTCTCTCCTGACTTCTAGGGTAATAGATTTAGGTGTATAGACATATAACACCTGTTTCTTTAGCCTTTTTTTCATACTTCCTCTTGTGTCATGCTGTACAAAACAAATGGCATACTGATTGACTTCAAAAATCTAGCTGGCTGCTCAATGGAAAGGGGACTGTATTGGCTGCTAGGAGTTCACTCTCCCACTACTTGGGATAGTAAATTTTCCTGCCACCAAAACCTAATTGTGTTTTGTACAGTATATAATTTTGTCTTTGACACCAAAAGAACTATGCTGATTTCTATTTCACAAGACAGCAGGGGTCTATCTCAGCATCACTGGATAACCCACTGTGCTAATACTAGTACATCATCTTCTATGTTCACAGTCTCTGCATGATTAAATATGGCCCTCGTAGCAGCTTTTAGACAATATATGAACTTACTGTAATAATTTTTAAAGCATGTTGGAAGAAGATAACCATGTAAATCTGAAAGAGATAATCACAGCTATAGCTTCCATCTTTTAACTTTTTATAAGGAAATGAAAAAGATAATCATACTTCTGTTTTTCAGGCAAAAACTTGTCCTCTTGAATGAAGCCATTCCTGTTATCATGAATACTTATTTCAGTCAGAAGATCATTCTTAAAGAAGTGGATAGGCCACATTTTCAAGAGCCATTGCTTAATAAAAGAAGCATATCTTTGGCCCAGATATTCAATTTATCTGATGAAAAAGAGAGTTGTCCTCAAGCTTCTGCAGTTAATCAGGTAAAGTTTACTTTCTAGTTTTATATGTGGTAGCAAATTTCTGAGTAGATATTTTGGAACCATCATGCAAAGATATTCATAGACTTTCTGTAGCCTCCCTTTGAGTAAGCTTCAATAAAGAATAATACACATAAATATTTTTACAGACAATTTTTTCATAGGTAGTAATATCAAATTTATATGAGAGCTTGTTTTCATATTACAACTGAGCTGGGTAGTATTATTATTACTTAATCTGTGGCATACTGTTCTCCATGCTTCGAGTGCAGTTTCTTAAAATTATTAGCTATTCTGATAGGTAAACTACATGTCACAATACAATTCAGAAGAATCTACATCATGTTGACTACAATGTATTTTGTTTTCTGATATGCGGAATTTCCTTTTTTTTCCATTAATAAAAAAAATGAAATTTTCATGGAAACACTAGTAAGTTGTCTTATCTATCATTGAGAAGGGAATAGAAACTTCAACACAGGATTGCTGTGTTTCTTACAATTATGGTAGTAACTACATGTGCATTTCGTTTCTCTGTCTCATTTTTGAGCCTGGGTTGGATATTTTTATGTTTGTTATATTGATTTTTCATTAGAGTTAAGAAAATTAAGACATATATTAATGAATTCTGAACTTTTTTCCTGGTAGTAATATACAAGAACCAGTGTGTTGCAGTGGTTAGAGCATTGGATTATGACTCTAGAAACCAGGGTTCAATTTCTTGTTCATGCAAACTCATTGAATTACTTTGGGAAAATCACACATTCTTAGCTCCAGAAAATCATGTGAGAAAGTCATCTTCTGATAATCACAAGTAGGAAATGACTTGAAGACACACAGCAACAACAGTAGTACATTTGAGTGATTCATCAGAATGAACGGGGCCCAGTCTCCTCACTCAGTTGCTAAGCACAGCTCTTAACATTTGAATGTGCAGAGAGGCCATCAATTGTCAAACAGAACTTAAAATATCTCCAAACTAGGTTGTTGTAGTGTTCAGTAGTACATGAGACTGTCTTTAAACACAGGTTAGAAAATAAACTATTTACAGAATGTTGGTTGATGATTTGGATATCATGGATCTGAATCTGGTGTGTTCAAGATACCAGGACACCTCAGTGCCATGAGTTACATAGCCAAGGTCAAGGAATGAAAACACCTGGAGGCCCTGAGTGGAAAGGAGCCTGATAACACAAATAGGCTCAGACTGGGAAGCCTGGAGCCTGGATAGAGGAACTTTTAGAAGTTGGCAGGGTGGGATTTGGGGGACTGAAACTGAGAAGTTTCCAATGTTTTCTTCATTCATAATTTTGCTGTACAGTAGTAACCTAACATTAAAGAAATTTCCAAGATTTCCTTGTGAGTGAATCTAATTGCTACCAAGGCCCTTCTATCATCACATTGGATCACACTGTGCTAATTACTGCACAAGTTGCCTGTTCTTTTACACAACTCACCTTAAACAATTTTACAGTTGTTACTGTTTTTCACAAGATTACCTAAAGAGTAGCCTTTGCCCATATGGACCTTCCTAATGTTCCTGACAAATTTTCACCCTGTCTGCTAAGTAGCACTTGAATGTACTTGTTTTCCATTATAATTACATATCATAGAGTCTTTAGTGAGCATCTTTTGGAACAGGTACAACATTAACAGCAGAAATGGGGATCCCTGCCTTAGTCACCTCTGGGCTTGTTTTTTTGTAACACCCTCTCCATGAGCTGCCTTTGAAAACTATTTGGCAATTTCAATTGCTTTGAAGGCTTCAGTCAGGTTTCTTACTGTGCTGGGAAATAAGTTCATGTTGCCTCTCTTTTTTATTAACTACTTTGATTTTATGGCACTGCCTAAACACAATTAATCGTGGTGGTTTTGTCCTATAAATACCTGAATGGAGTGAGACCAGCTTCCTTGGTCATCTTCCACAGAATCCTTCAGTCTTTCTTCCTGCAATGAATTTTCTGTGGTAAGAAAAAAGACAGAGACAAATGCTGGAAAAACAAAGTAATGCTGCAGAGAAAAGATATCTCGGTCCCCTGTAAGATACTCTGAATGTGGCGAGGTGAATGAACAACAAACACCTTATCTAGAAACACCCTGATTGATTGTGGGTTGGTTTATTGGTTGATTCTTTGGCTACTTTTTGATGTTGTTATCATGTTTATTTCAGAGAAGGGAGTGTGCTTGACTTGCTTAACTGTTTAAGACTGTGAAAGTAGGGATATTTTCCCCAAATTAGATCAAAGATTCCAACTAAGGGAAAGCATTGATCTGAATATTATTCTAGCATTTATACTTCTAAAACAGGGATGGACAGCACCAATTTTGTCCCCCCCACAGGTTCTAGGGCCAATTTTCTGGCCTCTGGAACATCAAAATACCACAGAAATAATCCTGGAATTTGTCAGATGGTTACTTCTACTTCTGAAAAGATGTATATTCTTAAAATATTAAACAATGAGAGTACATCCGTCCATTTAAAAGGTGAATGGCTGATCCTGATGACTTCTGGGAGCAGCAGTTTACCTTTTTTTTTTTTTTTGCAAAAAATAAGGATAATTTGGAGAGTTGGGAAATCCAAGAGAACGACAACAACCTTAGGGACACACATGCTTCAGACCTTGTCTCTGTTCTAGAAGAACGGAAATACATGCTTAGTTATTTTATTTCTATATTGTTCAGAAAAATATGGTTTATGAATTTATGTTTGCTAGGTTTCCTGTCCGCATATGAAGACTTCCACGACTGTTCATGATCATAGCATCAGTGAACCCAGGCTATCCCTTTTCACAGCTCCTAATTTACGTGATTCTCTTCTTGATGTTGTGGAGACAGAAGGAACAGCTGGAGGGAAAAGAATCCAAGTCCAAGTAGTTGTTCAAAGAGTGTATTACTTGGTTGCTAAAGACAATTCAAGATGTCATCTTCAGAGAAATAATCCTCCTCAAACCATGGCACCATGTTTAAATTCAGACTTGACAAGTGCTCGGTGAGTAATAGAATTGTACCATTGGTAGAAACAGAAACATATGGAGAGAAGCTAAGCCAAATGTGCTGATTGCCAATAGTCTTGATTTGTCTTGAACTGAATAATCCTGCTCTCTAGTTGAAAACAGGAAGCTGCTTAAAAAAAATTCTGAAAATATTAAACCCAGAGTTGGACAACCTATTCAGTATTTGGTTCACATCAAAAGTCTATCTTGTCCGTTTTGATTACCATAACTAATTTCTGCATTCAATTCGATGAATTTGTCTCCATACAGGTATCATTGTGATAGAAAGTTGACGTAAATATATACAATATAAGTAGACCATTGCCCTGTCTATGGTGGTATTGCCTACAATGACTAGCAGTAGCAATTTTCATACCATTTCCCCACTCCTAGTTTATAATGGCAGAAGATTAAAGTTTGTACCTTATCCACATAAAATATACACTTTTCTACATCCCTTTCCCAGTTAATCGGCTTTCATAAAATCAGATTTAATAAATCTTTAAAAAGCAATCATTTAATTTTGTGGCATTTCACAAGTGTGGGCATTTTCCTGTTCAGGGCCTTACATACAACTTGTAGTCTCATCATGTTGCCTTGCTATGTTTAAATTGCCATTCTCTTCTGAAACACGCATGTATTACTTTCTTTATGGTCTACATTTCTCCTTAATAAATTAGCAAATTTAAAAATACATAGCATAGCGAGACTGAAAGAGCTTTGTTTGATCAAGGTTTCCCTTATTAAGAAGCTTGTGTCCAAAGTCCAAATCCTTTCTTTTGCCCATTATTTACAAGAGCAATGCAATGCCTAATCCAAGGTTGCATAGTAGCTAGTCTCTTTCTATGCTTTCACCTTCTTTTGTGGACAGATAACAATGGCCTCAATTTCTGTTTACCGAAAAGGAACTGAATGAAGTATTTCAAAAGAGTTTTGAAAGAGGAAGGCCACCAGTCCCTACAAGTTGCAGCTAATTGCACCAAAATGCCAGTATATTTTTGAGAAAAATATTTCTAAATCTGTGTAGATTATATCTACCATATGAATGAAAACGTCTGCTAATGAAATATTATGAATAATTTGGTTGATTGCTATAAGGGATCTGGTTGAATCCAGAAATAATTTTGGCAGATAGTTCTTGTTCTAGAGAGAGTTGATCACGGTGAATGAAATGAAAATAATTTTATTTATTTAATGTAGCAGTGGTGTTGTCATCCTTTAAAAGCTCCCAAGTCTTCTGTTGCTATTAGACATTTCTGTGGTACACCATTGCAGACTGGGACTGTAGACATGTAAAGATACTTCTTTTCTTCTATTGTTATTTTATGGTGTCGTCATTTCAAGCAGCAAATAGTTAAACTTTCTTTCTTAGAATAGAAATTTACAAATTTAGTCTGCATAAACAATTAAAAAAAACTCTTGTGACCAATTAAGAAAGTCCTCACCAAATTCTACTACATCAATTCTTTTTTTAAAAGCCCAGATATATAGTTTGTTCCTTTTACAAAAAGGTGCTATGCAGTGACTTCTGCTGGAATGGCATGTCGTTGTCTTCAGTTGGCAACATTGCTAGTAATGTACAGACAAATGTAATTATTCTGCCTCTCTAATAAACTTTGTTAGATCATTTGTTAAACAAAAGGATACACTTTTCAGTAGTGTAATTTTTTTTAAATAATGTTAATTGATGTCAATTTACCTTTGACTAAGGATAATCTTATGCAGTGGTTCTCAACCTGTGGGCCCCCAGATGTTTTGGCCTTTAACTCCCAGAAATCCTAACAGCTGGTAAACTGGCTGGGATTTCTGGGAGTTGTAGGCCAAAAACACCTGGGGACGCACAGGTCGAGAACCACTGACCTTGAGGTGAAACACCTCTGAGTCACCCTTTTTAAAACTCAGCTTGCTTGCTTGAGTTTGTCCATTTGTTTAAAAAATGATGCTCAATTTTTAAGTTCTTCATGGTTTGTGTGATACACACAAATGGGTCATGCTGCATTTGCACAGTCTGTACTTGGAAACTAGTAGAGCTAAGTTATTTTTTGGTGGTAGTACCAACCACGTCCACTGTGCATACTGTAGTCCGTTCCTCTTCAATCTCTTTGATTCTCCTCCATCCAGTACATCAAAAACATTGAAGTTGAGTTAAATATTTTTAACTTTTTAAGTGTTTTGGCATTCCTACTTTTTAAATAACTTATCTTTCAGTCGTTGTCTTGTTTTTGACAGTCTTCAGTCAATCTTTACTTCATCTTCCTATGTTGGAAAAGTTTTTTTTTCCTGCCCACATATGGATTTATGGCATCTAAAGGACATTTCCCAAAAAGTGGGTCTAATGAAGTAAGAAGATAACACAAACAGACATCCCTAGTACTTTTTGTGTTTTGGATAGAGTCACATTGTTGGTGACTACTCCAGACTTTTCCTCAACAAGCCAGACATTACTGAATTTTTTGTCCTAAAGCTTGGATAATCCAGACTCCTGAGTAATGAGCTCAGTCTAGGTGTCTCATTCAACTAGAGTTTTGAAGCCAAAGTAGACTCAGGACCTATTAGAACTCAATACATCAAACAACAGAACTTTCATTGGAGAAAACTGAGAAAGAAAGATCATTGTGTTGCCACTTCGGTACTCAAGAAACCACAGACTGTTTTCTGTCAAATCCAACTCACTTTGATGAGTACCTTCATTGTCGATGGATAGAGCGACTCTAACTCAAGACTTAGCAAAGTGTAGATGACACCAAAATGCTTCCAAATGTCCTTGGGGAACACAGATCAACTTTGATATATTTTCCCCCAGGCCACTATAGACACAGAGAAAGACTTTTTTAAAAAACAGGAAGTGAAGCACCATCGCTTTCCAAATAGCAATAAGAAAGTTGTATATTTCATGCATAGATACACAGAATGGCAGCTGAGCAGCTCACCGTGGTGTGACATTTGTTGTATTGCAATGACAAAGCAATACTGTGCAATTGCATTGAGGCGTCACATGTGGTTTTGTTCATCAGCCTTGCTTCAGCTGCTAAAACACTAGTTGAATTTCTTTTTAATGAAGGGGCTCTTTTAACATTAAGACAGGTGAAAAGTTGGAACAAGCTTGAAATTAAATTCACTGCTAGGAAGTGTGGTTACAACATAAACAAAATATTAATAGAATCTATCATTCTCTTATACTGGATCATTACATTCTCTATTTCCATGACCATAGAAAACATCTTCTCAAGGATCCTATTCAACAAGGCGAGGCTACTCTTCAGGTATCAGATAGCAACCGTCTTTCAGGAAGAAATACACTGAAGTATCCAAATATTGTCTGATTACCATCTTGCTACTACCCCCTCAATGTGGTCAGCTCCCATCTATAACCAAACACTTTATGAGGAATTACTTCAACATTGACACCTAATATTAATGCATTTGCGGGTGGATTGCAAGTTATATGCCTCTTTACCTTTCATTCTAACTCAAAGAATGATTAAAAGAAAATACTCCACTCTTGGTACTAATTTCATATGTAGGTTTTATAAAACACTTCAGGAAATTTACATTTTCAAATATTGTGGTGCACTTGCTTTAAGTCAGTACAATTACCTTTGCATTTCCAATGGTGGGGAAACCACCACTGAAACAGATTTGTGATTGAGAAACTACAACAGCCTCTTCCATCTTTCTTGGAACTCCTTTAGATGGTATTTGTCAGGCAGTAATGTAGTCCCAGCTGTTGGCCATAATCAGGCCTTGCACACGGAATGTGAGAATTCATTTGGATTCAGCATTCGACCAAACTGTTCAAAAGTCATGTTACACCCATACTCCATGTAAGTAACTAAGTCTCCCATTTGTTTGAACTACAGAGACCATGGTAAACCACTGCAGTAGCTCAGAACTGAGGAGACTGAGTGGGAATGGGCTGGCAGATGTGTAGAGTTGCCCCAAAAAGATGGCTTTGCTATATGTTGTGTGACCCATTTATGTTTAAGTTCACTGGTAGTAAACAATCTATTCATCATCTGATTTAGAAGTCATTTAAGAAAGGAAAACTGTGTTGCTTAAATTTCTTAAAAGCTGTGTTGTGTCTGGCTTTGGTTGATATAAGACTTGTATCACATGTGTTATTTTTGTAACGTTATTAAGAACATGCATTTAAATCTCATGTTCTGAGTTTCGGTTTGCCTGTGCCTGCCAGTGACTAATAGACTAGTCTTAGGTTCTTACTGTTTTTAGGAGGTCTAATAGGCAGAGGTAATGAGGAATATATATGTATTTTAATTTGCCTTATGTAATATAAATCCTTTTAGTGGGTGTGATTATGCTCTAGCAGCTTTTTTAATGAGTTTCTGTTATATCATTTTCACTTGTGCAATGCTCAGGCAATATTAGACTCCACTGATTCTGCTCTGAATTATTCATAAATAACTTTACAACTTCTGTGTTCTCCATGCTGAGCTGTTACGTATCGTCTTAAATTTATCTCAATACAAACACCATTAAATTTATCATGAGATTCTCATCTGAGTAAAGATAATGTTTCCAATGCTATTGCAAACGTTTCAAGGTAGGTAAATCAGTTCTGAGGTCACTCATTGTGTTTACTTTAAGGAAAATCCAAGCCTGACTTACACAAGACTTATTTTAAATTAGTGTTTATTGCACTTAGAGGGATGAGAGAAAAAAGACATTTGTGAAAAATATGTTCACAGATGTTAGCATCTGTCAAACAGTTTTCTTTTGTGGGCAACTTCTATTCTGTTTACAGCATACCATTCATTTTCTTTCAGCTAAATTTTCTAAACAAAACATTCATGAACATATGATTTTTAAGAACATCACTAATACCTCTGGGATGCATTTTTTTCAAATGCAAGATAAACAGAAAGCAGACAACCTAAATATGCCTCACTGAATACTGTATGCCAGCAATGTCTCAGTACCCAAAGTCACTTTTTAGCTGTCTTGTTAAAATGATTAATTGTTTTTTAAGAACCTTTAC